ACCACCAAAAAACACTACTCACCTTCACTCTTGCAAGCTGGAAGGGGTTTGAAAGCAAACATAGCAAGCCATACACCAAAATGTAGGTAGAATAATGGTGCAACACCCCTAAAGACGTTGTTCTACATAATTTGGGTGTTAAGAAAGGTCAAAGATTGAAATGCTGATTGTGGAGTAGTAGGCAAGGGCGTAATTGGTGGGGCTCTCATCGCAACCTGCTGCGCATGTGGTAGCCTGGGATTTGCAATTTTCAGCATTGGTTTGGCGCTTCCTCCGCGGGAAAAAATCGCCGCCAAATGCGGGTCTCCCAAAATTAGGGTAACCCTTTGAGGGTTACCTATAATGAGGACTATAGTAGTTTGGGGTTTATACTGGCGCCCCCCATTTTGGCCAACTGCCGAGTAGTATCAGCACTCATGAGATTCTCGAGGAAGCACCAGGCAGTTCCTGCACGGAGCTATCAGAGATTGTCTCTTTGGTGGCTGCAATTTTCACCGTGCCATGCTAGCGACAGTCCAACTGAGCGGGCTGGGTGTAGAACATGCCCTTCACAGCTTGGGGGATTTCAAAGGGTTTAGGGTTTAGGGTTTAGGGAAGCTCTAAGCCCTAGAGTTCTGAAGCGCCTCTTCTGAAAGAGGCCAACTGTTGAGAAGTCCCCTTCAAGTGCGATTGGTGGCGCATGTTATATCATGGGGCGGGGAGGAAGTCCTCAGGTGGGGTCCCTATTCCTGTAGCCTGGAAGTGAGTCTGAAGATGGCGGCGGGGTAGGGGTTTAGGGTTTAGGGTTTAGGGTTGGAGAAGTTTTTTTAACCCTAAGCCCTTTACTCTAAGGTCAGGGGTTGAGGCACTCCTTGTGGCATGGACCCTCCCTTTTAGGACCCGCCCTCGTCCTGTGATTATGCGGGTTCCGACCCAGACACGACCTGGGCTGCTGGTCGAGGAAAAGCCAGCGAAGACTCTTGGGGTTATATTATCCCCCAAGAATGGAAAATCAAATGGAAAAGAAATGGGAAATGAAATGGAACCTGGGGGAATATAGGGATTTGAGGACGTGGGTGTTGGTTGTAGCCAAAATTCTGTGTCGGTGGTAGTATTGGGGTTATATTGCGGTTAAACAGGGGTTGTATAGGGTTAATGGAAAAGAAAATGGAAGCTACCATGTGGGGTTTAGGGTCCAGTGCTGTGGAGCAGTCAATATGGTTGGTGGGTTTAGGGTTTAAGGTTTTAGGGTTTGGGAACATGCTGGAACTAGAGCCTTAGAAGCAGCTGTAGCATTGGCGGCGGCAGCAGCTGGAGGTTCCCCAAAATTCGAAAGTAGGTGTACCTGTTTAGGGGTCCTAACAATAAGGACTGTAGTATATGGGGTTCTATATTATGTTTTATACATGCGTATCTGTGTGTGTATATATTAATAATGCATTTACAAACCTTACGCACACACACACACATATATATATATATACATCATAGTTAAAACCTCAAGAATTTGGGTTAGGGAACCCCAAAGCATCCCCAAGTCAAGAACCTGAGTCTCCTTGCAGGCGCCAGGCGTGGGCGAGTGTGGACCTAAGGAGTTACCGGGACATGGTTTAGGGATTATAGTCCCCCTTAAGTAGATAGAATATGGGGTATATGGGGATCCTATTATAATATACCCAAAACCATATTCTATCTACTTAAGGGGGACTAGAGGTTGTTTAGGGTTTAGGGTGTAGGGGCTTGGGGATTAGGGTTTAGGTATTAGGGTTTGGGGATTAGAGCTTAATTAGGGTGTATGTATGAAGGTGAAGGGATCACCAAGTAGGGTTTGGGGCTAAGGACCAGGGATTGTGTTTCTCAAAACTGTGGAGGCGCTTGGTGATCCTATGGATATATGGGGATCATGGCCAGAATACGGGGTCCTGCCAGCGGATGACTTCGTGGAGCGGAGAGGGTTAGAAGGCTCATGGTGTTTGCTTGAGGTTGTAGGGTAATATAGACCCCTAATTAATAACCCCCCTCCTTTTCAGGGCCTTAACATTAGGATCCCTATTGTAA